TTATCTTTATTTAATGAAACAGTACAAGAAATATTTATTGATCATTTAGATGGAATTCAAGTACGTTGAAAAAACGTTTATTATTTTTCTTTTCTATTTATTAATTTATTTTAAAGTTTGCTAATAATCCATCATTAAAATCAATGAATCTATTCCATTAAATGTATTTAATAAACACCAAACTGCTGGAAGACTTTCAGTTATGGATGAACAAAATTTTACACGTCGACAAGAATTTACTGTCCAAGTAAAAAAAAAACTACAGTTACCTATAGTGTGAAAGTCTTAGCACAATAACTAGACTCAGAATTCATTTGCTATTTTCAAATATACGTTCAGTAAATTTTATGAAAAAAGCACAAAACTGTGATTGTACAAAGCGAAATAGCATCTACGTGTTTCCACTAAAGAGTCACTTTCTATGGAAATCGACATTGATAAAAAAGAAAATGCACAAGTTTTACAATCTGCCATGCAACATACAACCAAGAAGTGATTAGTACACTTTGCAGAGCAAACTTTACTCTACAAAACTAAAGCGGTAAGCCCTCCAATTGATTAATTGCTTTTAAATCGCGATTATGTGCATCATGTAAACCAAAATGAGTTATGAATTATTTCTCCCGAGTTACTATTCTTTTACGGTATTTCTTCAATGGATACCATGGTCTTCTTCAGGAACATCAAGAAAATTAATTTTCGAACTTCGACTTGAAAATTTTCGTAGAAACAATTCTTAAAGAAGATAGTTTTTTTTTGCAAATGCTTCAGAAAATTCGGTGTTCATATTTCATGATAGAATCAAATCAAAATACCTGAAACGTTCACCTTAAACTACTTTGGTTAAGATCTGTTTTAGTATATATTTTTTAGCCTAAATTCGAAAATCAGTTTTCTTGATGTTCCTTAGGTGAGCCACGAGATTCAATTTAAAATGCAGTATCTGAGTAGCAATACGCTAAGAACCCACGATCTTTTCATTAGATTCAAAACTCATTTAGGTCTACATGATGCACATATTTCCAGTTCCAAAGCCATTAATCAGCTGGAAAACTTGCATCGTGAGCCACTACAAAACTATTTGACATTTTGAATTTGATAGATTTCAATCGACATATAATATTAACCAAAAGAGTATTCTGTACAACCACTATTTTTAGTCATTTTGACACGATGTGATGATTGTTGTCCAATCTTATTCCAGAAGGAAATTCTGAACACATATTCGTAAAACACCAAAAACATCTGATTCTAACATGTTATCTTTAAGTAGCCAAAAAATCAGTTGCCATAGATCACGTTTATTTCTTTATGAATAAAAAATAATTTTCTAGATGCGAGATGTTGTCAAAACTGTTAGCATAAGTCGAACATGGAAACGTGTATATGAATTGGGTCAATCATTAAATTCGAATTGGCCTATTCAAATGCTCTGTGATGCTCAAATACAAAATGAACGTCGACGTATTATTCTTAGTTCAGTTGTTCGAATTTTTAATAATTCAACATTACCATTACTGATTTTAAATGTCGATTCAATTGATCCGAGAAACCGTCATCGAGTAGCAAGAATTGAAGTTAATAAAGATTATCATGTACCAATTGATTTACTTTATGCCTATTCAAGTTTACCGATATTTATTGGAATTGACGAGTAAAATTGATTTTTTAATTGAATATATTAGAAAAATAATACATTTATATTTTTGTATAGAGGTGAAGAAGTAAATGATTTTTTTTCATTTGATTGGGAAAAAGAATTTGCAGAAGAACGAATGCTAAAATTAAAAAATGGAAATGAAGCAAATTTTATCGTAAGAATTTTTGGAGATAATTTTCAATTTTAATATTTATATGTTTTGAAGGTTTTTAAAGAATTAATTATGGCTTATACAGAAAATACTGATCAACTTGATCGAGCAAGTTTTAATCTTCATATTCATTCAGCACTTCATTTAACGAATCTTTTACCAATTGATATTGAATGTTCAATTGATGTAAGTCTAAGATTTTATTTCGAATAAATATTATTTAATTAATTAGATGATTAAATTGAAATAATCGAAAAGAAATTATAGATCTCATATGTTAGGCCAATTTATTATTTGATAATTTGTATCTGATATTTGAGCAAATAACTCTTCATTAATAATGTTCATCGCTTCTGCTAATATAGAACATTTTCAGTCGTTAGAAGCGATTGTTTTTCTAGAAAAAAATGAGTATATGCCATTTTCTACCTGTGGGATTCAAATGTGAAACACAATGTAGCTGATCAGATGGATATTGTTTTATTCTATCTATTTTGGGATACATTTCTTCACCATCCTTTTAGTTAATTCTCCAAAAATGAAATGAGAAGCTATATTGACATACGGTCTTTGATTATAAATCAACAACGTCTTTCACGGCCTACGCGATTCTAAATTTTCATTCATTTCTATTTAGAATGTCGAAAAATGTGCTTTAAAACCAAGTCAATTGCATTTAGTTACATCTGGCAAAAGAAGTTCTAATTTAATTTTTACAGTAAATTATTTAATTTATTTTTATTTGAAAATTAATTTTGTTTATTGTTAGATTCCATCATATGATAATATCAAATGGATATCTGAACCGGTTGATTTAAAAATTGAAGGAAAAAGTGATAAAAATGAACATCTTGTTATATTTCATAATGAAAATGGTCAACAAATATTAGGAAAAAAACATTTTCATATATTTATTTTTTCATTTTAAAAGAAAATGATTTTACGTGTTGATGCTTATCATGAATCATATCGTTTATTATTATTTTCACCATTTTGGATTCTTAATTGCACAGATCTTAAAATTGATTTTCAAGTAAAATCATTCTTATTTTTTATAGTATTTTTATTTATTTATTTTTTTCGATAGATTGAAAATAATCGAACATTTATTGATGTTATTGAAATACCCTATTTAATTTGTCCAGAAAATATTGCAAGTGAAACAAGCAAAAAAGTAAAAGATTTCCATAGAATAATAAAATGAAATTTTTGCATTTTATCATCAGGGACAAATTTTTATTCATGAGAGTGAACAAAGTGATACAACAGTGGCAAAATTGTCGGAAAAATTTTCTCTTGATGTTATTAAAAGTACCGGTTTGACAAGTTGTAAAGTATCCAATAATCGAATATATATGGTAATATAATATTTAAATAAAGATAAATGTTTTATTAAAGAAATTTTAAAAAATAGATTTGTGTGGATATTGCAACAAGTTCATTTGGTTTAACAAAACTTGTTACCCTCTCACCTGCAATGGTTATTATTAATAAATCAACTGTATGTTGAAAAAGAATTTTGTTTTATTTTAATATTATTGACGTTTTTGTTTTTAAAAGATTGGAATTGAAATAATAGAAACTGCATCTGATCAAAAACAAAATAAATGTGAATCAATAAATCCTGAACAAGTAAATAATTAAATTTTTAAAAGTTTGATTTAATAAAAAAAGCAATAATTTCAGTTAATTCCATTTTGGCCACGCAATACAAAAGATATTACGGCACGTATTCGTTATGCAGATAATCAGATAACATCAAGTCCATTTAAAAGGACTCAAAAGCATCGAGCACTTTTACGTATGGATGATGAAGAACGTCCAGCGATTTTTGTTGAAGTCACAGCAACAGATTTTGATGGTGTCAAAATTATTTTTGAAGATTATGAAATTGGTGATATCACCTTTACTTATTGTAAATTGCTTACTCAATGATCTAGTTTCTTTTTGTCAAGCTAATGATGTGTAAGTTCAAATAATTGATTTTTTGAAGAAAATTCAATTTGTTGATTTTCTTTTCTGTTTCGATATAGACGAACAGAAATAAATGTTACCACCATCAAATTATGTTTATTATACATGGACAGATCCATTACAACCAATAGAATTATTTGTATCATGTGGATCTAAGTCAATTAAATTAGACTTTACTGTAAGTAATTTCGTTTTCTGACAAAGAAAAATTTCTAAAACAAAATATCTTTTTGGAAATACAAAGATGAGATTTTGAGATTTTTTATAGTTTCTTAGCAATCCAATCATGTTCAATCGTTAGAGTTAACTCGATATGCATCATTAGTTGAATGGTTACATTTGGTTTATGATATGATGATTCAGACACCTGGGAGTTTCTAGGAATCCTTCCGACGTTGGATAGAAAACTTAAAATCCGAAGATAATAAAATTGTTTTCAGCTCTGCAATAAAAGCTTTCGTTCGGGTACAGTGAGCTCTATAAAAACTTTATTTTTGAGTTCAGAACTTTGCTTTTCTTTTTCAAAATAATTAAAATAAAAAAAGCATAAAAATTTAGTCGTCGCTTTCTTAGACAACCGATGTTATGCGTTAAAGTTATAAAATCAGCTAATAATAGATATGAATAACTAAACATTTTATTTTCTTCATCATGCATAGATAAAAAGTGTTGTTCACTACATCCGATGAAATGGTTCATTGGTGCTAACAGTAGAGATATAACAGTCTTCAAGATGTTTGAATCATGTTGTTTTCTCTTTAGTCTCCAAATGGTATATTTGGTGAAGATGGTGGACATAAAATAGCTTATAGCATATTTGTTGATGGCATTCAAACGGGTTTACTCTTTTCTGAGGCTGTAAATTTATAAGAAACAGTTGAAAAAGTATGAATTTGATCTTTATTTTAAAAAACTTAATTAATTATTTCTATAGATGCCATTACCAGCTGAATCCATGATATTGGTATTTCTATTGTTAATGATATAACACATGAAGAAATGCTTTATATAAGTTTAAATAAATCAAAAGTTGTTTGGACCGAAATAAAAAAAAAAATCGTGTTAAATCTTTATCACATAATATAAATGCACGTTTAGAAGAACTTTATAGAAATCATCTTGTGCAATGTGAAATAAATCCAGATGATAAAGAACTTCACAGGAAAAAATATGAGATCGATGGATTTCGAGTATAATTAATCTTGTTTTATTTTTCTTACAAAATAAAAATTTATATATTTTTGTTTTTTCAAGGAAGTTTTATTTCACGGTGAAACAGCAACATTAATGCAGTCTAAACATAAAAAAAAACATGCTAAATGACAAGCATTATATGGTCTGTGGATTGATTATTCATGATCAACATCAAGTTCTGCATTACATATACGTCTTAATCGTGTACAAATTGATAATCAACTTGATTATACAATATTTCCTTTTATGCTTTATCCAGTTATTTCAAAAGGAACAGGAAGTGATTATACGGAAAAACCATTTATTGAATTAAGTGTTCTTGAATCTAAAACAGCACAATCAAATATAATGCAATTTAAATATTTTAAAGTACTTATTCAAGAATTTTCTGTTCAAATTGATCAAGGTTTAATTGTTGCCATTCTTGCCTTTTTACAAACAGACAGCGTTTGTGTTTTTTCTTCGATTTTCTTTATTGATTCCTTTTTTCTTCTTCTTCTTTCAATAGAATGGTACACCATTGGGAATCAATATGAATACTGATTTAGAACAAATTCAAAAACCACTTAATGCTATTATTAAAGCACAAATCGAGAGTCCATCGAGTGAAACAGAAATGTTTTTTGATAATATTCATTTATCTCCTCCACTTAAAGTATTTTAAAAAAATTATTATTTTACTTTTTCCTAAGTAAACAAATATGTTTAGATTCATGTTAGTTTTTCAATACATGGATCCAAATCAAGCGAAGAATTATTAGCTGAATATCCATTAGTTGGATTTCTTTTACAAACATTAAATGTTGCCGAAGTACAAGATGTTATTTTACGGTAAGAGTTATTATTGTTTTTTGGTAAATGAATTCGATTTTAATTTTTTTTTCTAGCTTGGGTTATTATGAACGAAATAATGACAAATTTACGACAAGAAAAATAACAAAAGAAGTTACAGCTCACTATCAAAATCAATTTATGAAACAGCTTCATGTATTAGTACTTGGACTGAATGTACTTGGAAATCCACTTGGTGTTATTCGTGGTCTTGCCGAAGGTGTTGAATCGTTTTTTTACGAACCATATAAAGTAAAAATTAAATAAAATATTAATAAAAATGTTTGTATTTTATTTGTAAGGGTGCGGTTCAAGGTCCAATGGAATTCGCTGAAGGTGTAGCAACCGGTGTTCGAGTATTATTTGGTTCAACTGTTGGTGCTTTTTCGAAAATAACTAGTGTAGTTGGAAAAGGTTTAGAAAATTTAACATTGGATGAAGATTATAAAGCATCACATATTCGACATAAAGAACCAGGAGTGACAGCACCGACACATATTGCTATGGGCGGAAAAAATGTTGTTATGGTTTGTTGATACTTGCTCTATTATAGTTGAATTTTAGATTTATTTCTGATTTTTTTAAATTTTTTAATAGGGGTTTGTTGATGGTGTTAAAGAGGTTGTATCAAAACCAATAAGAGGAGCAAAACATGGTGGAGCATCTGGTTTCTTTAAAGAAGAAGGTGTTATTGGTCTTGTCGCAAGACCAACAGGTGGAATGGTTGATTTTGCTAGTACATCACTTGATTTAATCAAAAGATAAGATAGTTTATTTTTATAGATATACTTCAAGCTACAAGACATGCTATATCTAATTGTTTTGTAGAAGTAGAATAATCATTGAGTTCCTTAAACAATTTTTACTTGATATTCTCGTAATCAGAGAGTTTTCAGTTCATTTAATATTTCATTATATAACAAAAACTTTTGCCGAGAATGCTAGTTCTACTATTATTACTAAGAGGAACTAAAGTCGATAATAGTCGTATATAATAATACCAGCAAAATCGCGGTTCTATTACACATATCATGCAATGATACAAGGGTACTTCCATGGGTAGTCAACCACAAAAACACAAAGATCTTCGACACTTGTTTTGGTGTATCACAGTTTGTAGAGATTTTTACGCTGATCATTTTGGTAAATTTTGTTTTCTACTTTCGTCAACAAATAGCGATAGTAGGGTCAAAATACTAAAAACCGTAAAATAGTTTTGACTAGCTTTTTCTACCTCACTTTTTTCTGTATTTTGACCATATCATCGTTATTTGTTGATGAAAGTAGGAATTTGTTTTGCCCAAAATGATCAGCGAGCTGAGCTCTACAAACTGGAATATGCCAAAAAAAGTGTCGAAGATTTTTTGTTTTTGTGGTTGGATATTCATGTGTAGAAAGTCGATCGCTATAACTCAAAATGGCTATATTACAGCAGTATGCGGCATAGTGAGTTTGGTAGCCCGGGATCTGCTCTACAAAACCCTATATGTGGCATTCCAAAGACGCCTTACAAATCTCGCGTAAAACTCAATACAACATTGTCGACTACAACTGTCATAAAAACGAAGAAGATTCGCACATATTCCCTCGAAATTTCATCTGTTTGAGCTGAAAATTATAGCACAAACTCATTTAATCATGAGGAATACAATGGTCGACTGTAAAAAATGATATCCAACTTCATTTAACTCATGTTCGGACTCTCTGGATAGTGACCGCGATAGAAAAATATGTTTTGGCTTGAGCTTCATCTGAAATGGATGCGAACAGCATTTGGGTCTTGATTAGAAACATATTCGTAATCGAAACCTATATTCAACCTGTGTCGTCTTGTTCAAATCTTCTCGATTTAAGCGGTAGCATATGTTATAACTCACAAAGGAAGTGTTTGTACTGTTGAGCGAATTGATTGACGCTGATGTTCTCAAATGATCACTCTTAGGGGTGTCACTTTAACTTTAAATTGATCTTAAAGTTTACAGTTTAAAGTTGTTTAAAGTCACTCTTAAATGCTTCTTTTTGGCGTTTTATCTGTTACAGAGAGTCTCACAGGCATGACTCAATAAGTCAGTACAGTAATAAGCATTAAAAAGAAGCGCTTAAAGGCGACTTTAAACAACTTTAAACTTTAAGCTTTACGGCTAAAGTAAAGTTGAAGTGCCACGCCTAATCACTCTCCCCGAGAAACTAACAAATCTAAAATAGTAGCTGCTTTTGGCTTACCTGGGCCGAGATATTGAATTTTCAGTGAATTTTCTCTGCAGGACCCGCTTTCCCAGCAAAATCATACTTTCGAATGTGGACCTGAAACTTTGTAAGCATGAAGAACTCAATGAGGCTAGGTTATAAAAAGAAATTCAGAAGTTTTAGACAAACTCTCTCCAAGATATGAATCTCTCAAAACATACAACTTCTATAGAAAATCACAAATATTTTGAGAGATTCATATCTTGGAGAGAGTTTGTCCAAAACTTCTGAATTTCTTTCTACAAGCTAGTCTCATTGAGACATCCATGCTTACAAAGTTTCAGGTCCAAATTCGAAAATATGATTTTGCTGGGAAAGCGGGCCCTGCAGAGAACATTCGCTGAAAAATCCAATATCTCGGCCTAGGTAAACCAAAAGCAGCTACTATTTTAAATTTGTTAGTTTCTCGGTGAGAGTGATCATTTGAGAACATCAGCGTCAATCAATTCGCTCAACAGTACAAACCCTTCCCTTCACTGATAAAAAAATCCGCGTAATGATCTACCCCTGCACTTAAAAACTTCTTCAATAAACCCTTGAAGGGTTTATTCCAATGGGATGAACCCTTTTAGCGTTTATTAGTCGAAGGGTTTATGAAGCTATGGGTTTATGAAAACTCAAAGGGTATATGAAGGGTACATAAGAGTTCATTATTCTACGATTTTACGGTAAGAGAATATCCTTCAACGGATGATAGTAGATTGTTATTCGCTTTCAAGATAGGGGTATTTTATTACTCGTTTTCGGGTTTAGTATTCTACTTTTTCGTTAAGAGGGTATATCACTCTGCCTTTCTGGGTATAGTATGCTGCCCTTCACAGAAACGGTTCATTATTCTACGCTTAAAGGTAGATTCTGTTTCCAGGCCTGCGAAGGGTTCAGTATTCCACGTTCAACAGTTGATTCATCTACGGCTTAAGAAAAAGGGTTTAGTATTGTACGTGAATGCTCTATTTTATACCACTTCATGGACAAGGGTTTTTTATTCTACCGACAGACATTGACTTATCTACCTTAGCATCTCCAGGAATAGTTCCATCGTCGGTTGAGGGTTGATTCTCCTTCTTTTTTGTTGAAAAAAGTTCATTATTCATCGTACATGGGTTGATCTTTCCGCTCTTTCGTTGAAAGCTTTTATTATTCTACGTACAGAGATTGATTGTTCTACTTTTTGATTGGAAAGGTTTATTACTCTACGCACATGGGTTGATTCATCAGCCTCTCTGGTCGAAGAGTTTATTCTTCTACGTAGAAGAGTTGATCCTAGCTCTCTTTCGATTTGAAGGTTTATTACTCTACGTAAACCGTTGATTATTTTTACCTCTTCGTCAAAAATGGTTTATTATTCTACGCCTAGAGGTAGATTCTGTTACCATGTGCTGCGAAGGGTTTATTATTCCACGTATAGAGGTTGATTCTTCCCCCACTTCGTTTGAAGGGTTTATTATTCTATTTTAAGGAATAGACTATGTTATCTGTTCCTTAAAAATGATTTATTATTCTTAATTTAATGTTGATTATGTTTCGATTAGCCTTAAAAAAATTTATTGACAAATATTTGTAAGTACACCAGACAGGGCTAAGTGTAACACTGGCTATTAGCATGCTTTAGAGCTTCACTAAATAAAAGGATAACATGAAGTATGTGAAGCGCTTCTTTTTTTATCTCGTCTCAAGTCGAGGAGAACGGAAAGAGAACGCGTTCGAAACATATGTTTGGAATGCATTGCGAACGAGACGATCAGAACGTATACGAGCATGTTTTGAATGTGCTCGTTGTGCCGATATAAGCACTCGGCCTATCCTAGGCAATGTACATAACGACTTTCTCCTCATTGTCATGTGTATTCTCTCTTCCTCTTTGTCATGTATATTCTATCCTCCTCTTTGTCGTGTTCCTTCTCGTTCTCTCCGGTTGAGTGACGCGCCCCGGAGAAAGAAAGTGTATCTATAAAAGGAGAAGGATGATTGAAATAAAACAGTTCGATATCACGATAAAACATTCTTATCGTTACACTCGTTCCAATTAGTTTATAGATTGAATCAATACTTATCTTCAGTGAATTTAAAGACATTTTCTACTTTTAATCCTTTCTGTTTATTTCCACACGAAACAATAAAATAGTATCCGTACAAATAAAGAGTACGAGATCGACTGAGAAAAGGTACAATTATCACATACAAGAGCAATTATAAATAGTTAAATAAAAAAAACAGAAAACACAAATATCTAAATGCAAAACAAACATCAAGATTTTTTTACAGTTGTTCTTAAATTAACCGACGTTTATCAGTTTCAAAGGTACATGATTGAGAAAAAAAGAGAATTCAGTTCACTCTAGAACAAAAGAAAGATGAACGAATACTTACATAATCATTTTCACAAGTTAAAAATACCATACAAGAAAATTGTTGCTATAATATAATTGATTCAATATTTTTGTAATTTTACCTACAGCAGCTACTGACTCTTGGTCAGCATTATCGTCTGTATTTAATAATTTATGTTACTTGATTAATTCAGAAAAAAATGTTCGTCACGAGCATTCGTATCATCAACCAGAATATGATTTAAGTCAGAGACAAATTGATTTGGATGTTCTTCAGATAGACTAAGATTCATTGATTGAACATCATCACTGTCATCAGTATTATCTAATATTGAAACCATTCGAAACTATAAGGCAGAATATTGCAGAATTTTGAATGAAAGCATGATTACCATCTGCATAATAATTGTTCGACAGAAATCAAGGAATTTTCATTATCATATTGATGAACAAATCGTTCGAATTGATTATCTAATGTCGTAGAAACATGTTCATGCTGCTCTTCATCATCACTTTGACGCTCAAGTACAGTATTAAGCAAAATATCTGCACTGTTTATGTTTGCTATTTGAAAAAACGCAATAGTAGCATATATTAGTTTAGAAAAACACAAATAGCTTATATCAATTTAAAGAAAAGAAAACTCTGAGTTGAAATATCAGATCTCTTTGATATTTTTTCCCTATATCTTGAATTTCGTTGCTTTTTCGACTGACACTGGCAATTAAAATAAGTTTGTTTAATTAAAGACGACAGTGATGAATTACTGTACTTTAGGTAGAGAAAAGATCACTTTGTGATCGAAAATTTCTATCAGGTTTATCCATCTTAAAAACAACAATATCAACTGAAATATCAGAAACAATAAACAAGCTTTTACCTTAATGAACATGATAAAAACGTTTTTTAATTCATGAATATTCAATAAAAAATATTTATTCATTTTTTGCGCTAAATATTGAAAATATTTAATATTATTACATATCGCAACCATATCCAGCATTCATGTTTTCTATACATCTTCTTTTTATTCAACAAGTTCTTTCGTTTAATCATATGCAATTTTTCAGCAATCTACTGCGTGATCCATCTATTCTCTGATTATTTCCCGTTTCCATTAGTTATACGATGCCATCGACGTATTAGTCTTGTATTCATCTTTTCTTTCAGTACGGAGTCATCCAGTTA